TCCGTCAGTGAGGGGACTGGTTTTCATCACTGGACTTGAAGAATGCCTGTTTTCATATTTCGATTGCCCAGTCACACAGGCATTTTCTTTGCTTTCTTCAGACAGAGCCTCACAAGTTCTCAGAAAGTGTATGGCTATGGTTTGTGCCCATCTCCAAAGAATCCAGGTATACCCATACTTGAATGACTGGCTTCTGGAAGCACCTACCAGGACTGAACTGATTGAGGCAATCCATACCATATGCTCTTTATTGAATAGACTGGGCCTTTGTTTGAATGCCAAAACATCTTTCCCCCCCTTTCCAATCTATCTTCTATATTGAGGCACACCTGGACTTTTCCACTGCAGTAGTATATCCCAAACCAGAGAGCAGTGGCATTCATCAAGATAGCCTCCAAGTTCCATTGGTGACATGTTGCTGTGGCCCTCCAGATTCGGCGGTTCTTACAATTCATGGCAGTGATGGTTTTGGTGGTTCCCCTCACCAGCCTACAGATGCAACCCCTCCAACTATAGTTTGTCTGTATTTACTCTCCCATTGACCACCATACTGGAAGCATCTTTGCATGCCCTCCATCATCCAATCAAGTCTTGACTGTTGGACACACTTCCAGTGTCTCCAGGGGAATGGTGTTCATCAGTCCCAAACCTTCATTTACAGTCACAACAGATGCTCCCCTATTGGGATGGGGAGCCCCCTATAGTTCCCTCAGGATGCAGGGGATGTGGAACAAGTCCGAAGTTCACAAGTATTATCAACTATCTGGAAACGCTTGCAGTGGTGAAAGCTTTTGTCATGTTGCAAGCATTCCTGTCAAGACATCACATCTAAATTGCCACAGACAGTACCACAGTGGCCTTCTGCATAAACAAACAGAGGCACCAGTTCAAGTCTATTGACATAGCACACTGTTCAAATCTGGAACCTGGTTTGTCAACAGGTACATCATTCTAACTGCAGTACCCATTGCTGAGATGAGCAATACACTAGCAGATTATCTGAAGAGGAAGAAGCTTATTCACAAGGGGCAGACGGATTGCAAGACTCTGTGCGAGATCTTTCAGACCTGGGGGAATCCCTTGAAAGATCCTTTTGCCACTCTGTACAGTGTTGTCTGAAATTTTCCGCTTCCTAAATAGGATTGGGCAGGGATTCCGTGAGAGATGCATTCCTGCTGAGTTGGATGGGGATCCCGCCCCCCTTCTCTTCCCTCTGACAATAAGAGTGCTGGTGATTTCAGACCAAACCTACATTCAGCTCCTGTTAAAGGCAGACCTGATCTCTTGGGATCAAGGGAGAATTTTTCACCCAGATGTCCTCTACTTGCAGGATTCATCCATAGGGCCCGCATACTCAACTTTGCTGGCAGAGTTAAGAACCATCTTGGCTGCAACCCTGGAACCACCAGCTAGGAACCTGTATAACACAAACTGGAAAACCTTCTTTTCCTTTGCTTCTTCTAAGGGTTTTGATGGTCAGGGTAGGGTATACACTTCTGCCGAAATACTCTTAACTGTTAAATCTTCCTGATAACAGGCTCTGTGAAGGCACAGAGCCCATATGTTTGAGTGCACACATGACCACTTGATGAATGACAGTTATAGGTAAACAACCTGTCTTATTCTGTTGCCATAGAGTGGGGAATAGTTTTACATTGAGGAAAGTTGGTTTAGGTCAAATATAGGTAGAAACTTCTTAATGGTAAGAACAGTTTGACAGTAGAATCAGTTACTGTGTGTTGGAGGGAGTCCCTCACTAGAGGTCTTCAAGCCATCTGTTAAAGATGTTCTTGTTTCTTGAATTAAGCAAGGTTGTATGATTCTGTGAGCCACCTATTTTAACAAGAAACTATGGCTGTAAATGCAGGGGGCAACCTTCAGATTGCTGGTCCAAAAGATTAGATATTCTTACAAGGAAAAGTAGTTCTGCTAGAGTATAATTTATGTTTTTATTAATACCCACAAACTGCTTAAATGTTAATACAGGTGATGGACCCCAGTGTAGAGATTACGTCATTAGCCTTGGAGTGGTGAAACCTCTGCTGTCATTCATCAGCCCATCAATTCCCATAACTTTCTTAAGAAATGTTACTTGGGTAATGGTCAACTTATGCCGTCACAAAGACCCACCTCCCCCAATGGAAACTATCCAGGAGGTAACCTACTTCATTGTCTGCTGAAAAGTTTTCACTAAACTTCACTGCAGAACTTTGAGTGTCATTTTCTCTTTCTCCTAGATCCTCCCAGCACTCTGTGTTTTAATTCATCACACAGATGTAAATGTGAGTATGAAAACTTTCACAAATCATATATGGATCAATTCTAATTGATTTTTGAAAAGCGCACAACCTCACCAGGTTAACTTTGAAAGCATTTATATCTGCTTACATATAGTCCTGCCAAATACCAGCAAAAGTCCGTGTTCATACAAAGGTTTCTGTGCTCCCTTTCCCCAAAATGACTTTTGTCTCCTTCCTTCTAACAAAATTAACCATGCTTTCACCAGTCATATTTGCTATAAATCACCTAAGTGTATACTAACTGGGAGATTTTGGGCCAGTCACTCACTCCCAGCTTAACTTACCTCACAGGACTGTTGTTGTAAAGATAAAAATAGAATGGAAAACTGCATAAGCTGACTTGGGCTTCTTGTTAGAGGAAAACAGATGGCCTCTAAATGCAATGAAATGTGATAATATTTTGAGAGTCAGTGTGGTATAGCAGTTTAGAATGCTGGACTGGGACCTAGGAGATCTGGGTTCAAGTCTCCACTCAACCATGAAACCCACCAGGTGTCTTTGGGCTACTTATTGTCCTTCAGTGTAACCTGCCCTATGGGGAGGGGGGTTGTGAGAATAAAAAGGTGAGGAGGAGAACTTTGTAAACTTACTTGAGTTCCTTGCAAAAGGTAGAAAGGCAGGATATTAATGCAATGTAAGAAGAATTCTGTAGAAATTCCAAAGCAACATAAACAGTGGAGGAACTGTATGGGAAGGAATAATTAGCTGGGAATAAGTGTGAGCAAATGCAGTTACATTATGAACAGTTGCATATCTCTGGGAAATTAAAACAAAGGCCTTGTGGAAAAGCCCCCCCCCCATGGGACTGGGAATTTTGAGAGGAGGATAGGAACAGCAACAGGGTTGCAATAACAACCCTTTACATGGTTGAGAATAGTAGGAACAGAGGTCATACCAAGGTCAAAACAAAGGCCAAATTAGAATGGAGCAAATTGGTGAATAAACCAGATTTTACTAAAAACCAGAGTTTTGAGATAAAATCTAGTCCTCGTTTTCACAGATGCTGACATCATGTTCCTGCTCTAAATTTGAAAGCATTATTTCTATCCACGCTTTATTTTGTCTTATGGAACTTTAAATGGATGCGGTGTATTTTTTTAAACAGATATTGGTAGATACAGTTTGGGCCCTCTCCTACCTAACGGATTCAGGCAATGAACAGATTCAGATGGTGATAGACTCTGGGATAGTTCCTCATTTGGTTCCTCTTCTCAGCCATCAGGAAGTTAAAGTGCAAGTATGTATTCTACAAACTTCCCTTATTTAGAAAGACCTTTTCATGGGTAGTCTTGAATTAAAAATTAATGGTATGGAGCATATTGTATTCAGTCATTGTTTATCAAATTAAGCATGACATTCTGATTTATGAGTGTTGCTTCTCTGTTTAATATGGGATAATGTTTATTAAATTATTAGAGCAAACAGTTCAGATTCTGTGTGTTAGCTTTGAGTAGGACTACTAGCTCATACAACTTGCTGATTAACTTGCCTAGTATTTAGCAGATCTGTTTTGAGCTCACATAGTTGTACTGATAAACCTGGAAGAGGATCCATTATCTGTATTCTTAAGAAGAAAAAATGAGATATATAATGGAAAATTATCTATTGTAAAATGAATGGAAAATGCTTTTAGTAAGTTTCTTTTGGTAGTTTAAGAACTTATGCATTAATAAATGAGCTCATTGTCCAAAGAGAGACAGTCTTTGACATTTCTAGGTGATGAGCTATTAGAGTCGTCTGAGTTTAAAATAAGGTCTTGAGCCTTCTATTTAAATTTTCACACTTTAGATACAGGCTGTAAAAACCACTGATTGCTTCAAATTTAACAGAGTGCTCAGTTTGATACGTAACTTCCTGGTTTTCAGTGACCTACAGTTTAACCATCCAAGTAGAGTCATTAAATCACAGTTTGCATAAACCTTTGTTTCAGTTCAGATGCAATTTCAAACTGATTTGCAAAACTGCAATTTGCCACCAGATTTCTCTGGCAAACCACTACAGTAGACTAAAATAGTCAAATTTCACTTGAAAGCAAACTCAGGTCATCTGTTTTATCCTTCTGTACTATTTTACTGCTGCAATTTGGTAGCAAAGTGGTGACTCATTGTTTGATTGATGTTGCTACTGCTGGATTTGACAGTGTGGCAGAGGCTCCCATGTTCCTTTGCAGTTACCCACCCAACTGTAGACCCTCTGTTGTAATATTTAGTCTTAAAATGACTACTGTAGTGATGGCTGCAATAGAATGCTAAAACTTTTAATATGTTTTGTTCCAGACTGCTGCACTCAGAGCTGTAGGCAATATTGTTACTGGTACTGATGAACAGACCCAGGTAGTTCTGAACTGTGAAGCGCTTTCACACTTCCCTGCTCTATTGACACACCCCAAAGAAAAAATTAATAAGGTATGGAAATATGTACGTTGCTATTGTCATGTGTATGATTTTTTCCTAAAGAAAAAAAATGAAGTGTAATGATCGGGTATCTGCATCAAACAAAATTGCATAATAATGGTCAAAAAGCTCCTCTGACCTTATTTTCCATAGTGAACCAATTGCTTCCCAAGGAATGAGAGTAAAAACTTCAGAACACTTGCTAAATACTGTAGATTTTTGTAGCAACTTAATGTTGCATCTAGTTAGCGCTCTACCAGTGAATGTGCAGCCTGTTTTCTGTCTTCACCTGTATTAAACTGACTCTTAGAAATGATGAAATGGAGGTCATGTGTGGTAATGTGTGTATATTTGCTGGAGGGTAGGGGGGAGAATGGAGGCTATTTTAAATTAAAAGGTGTGTGTGTGTGTGTGTGTGTGTGCATGCAGAAGTTATATAATGATGCAGATTGTGAGCACTGAAAGAAACTGCTGATTCCGGAGTGCATCTGAGGCACTGTTGCTAAATTATGGGTTTTTTCCTGCAAAGTTGCCAATGATTAGAACCCGAAATAGGCTCACAGTTTGCATCTAGGCAGTCTTAACCTCTAACAGGTTCATTTTGTCATACAAAGGAACTTGTGATCTGATCTAAGAGCTCAGTTTTATGACTTTCAGAAGTATGACTTGGATGAGGAAATGTTTCTATTTCATACTCAAAAAGAATAAAATATTTTAAAACTTGGGAGGGAAAAATGAATTTAATACAGCATTCTTTTTATTTAATTCTTGTACCTTTCCACAACCAAAGCTGTCTCTGGGCAGCATAGAAATGAATTCTGTATTTTATACAGTGTATTACCATTGGTGTCAACATTTATTCTTAAATACTTATCCTCCCTGGGATTTGCAAGTAGAAAATACAGGCTGAAAAGCATGGGGGATGAGATGCAGCCATGAGGCATCCCATAAGCCAAAGGATGGAAAAACAGTTACCTAGTTCCATCTTCTGAAACTGCTGTTCAGGAAGTATTGGAGCCAGTGCAGTTCTTTGTCTCCTAGGCCCAACCCAGCCATGTGTGCAGAAGGATTCTATAATGGATAGTATCAGAAACTGCTGAAATATCCAAAACTAATAGGACTGCATTTCACCATGCATTTCCTGACATAGGTCATCCACTAGGGCAAGTGATCTCAAAATCAAGCCTGAACTTGGATCCAGATAATCAGCCCTTAGGGTGTACTGTTCCCCATGAGTTGGGCTGGCACAGTGTGCAGCTGGGTGGACTGCTTGTGGCCCTTTGATAGTTGGAGTTTGCAAGTCATCTAATCACAAACTTCAGAGACAGTGGTAAGGGATAATGTGAGTTGTAGGCCAAAACATCTGTTGTCCACTGTTGTGTATAGCTATACTGATTTTTGCTTGGTTAAAAGAAAGAACTCAACTTGAACACTGGTGCCTGCTAAGTGATTTCAGTGTAAAACATAGAATTTAACTTGATCTTGTGTTTTGCTATATTGTGTTTATATTATTCCAACAAATGCATGTAACCCTGCAGAGATCCATGCACACCTTTAGTGTTTATAATATTTCTGTCCAGTACTTAAAATTATTATTTTTGTTGCAGGAAGCTGTATGGTTCTTATCTAACATCACTGCAGGGAACCAGCAGCAGGTCCAGGCGGTGATAGATGCTAACCTTGTGCCTATGATAATACACCTTTTAGATAAGGTTAGAGGAAAAATAAACTCTTACATAATACTTTTGTTTTGTTGCATAGAAACAGTTGTATTAATAAGGTAAGAGTTGCTTGTTAAAATTTAAATGCATATGCTGGATGTAGACTAACAGCCCCACTTGAGCCCATAAGCCCACTTTTTTTTGAGATAGTGAGGCACCTCTCCCTGATGGTTCCAGAATCTCAGTTGTTATAATTATTAAAGGGTACGGGAGTAAGAGAAACTACATTTTGGAGGGGAAAAAGAAATACAAATTTTTAAGACGTTGATGTGGTGGTTGATATATATTTATTTTCTGGAAAAAAACAAAGATGAACTGCTCATCAGTGCAGGAGCGGTCTGTGCTCCTTTGTGCCCAGCAATTTTGTCTGATGTTTGCAAACTACTACAGTTTACACTATAATACAGAGACAACTATGAGGCAGCAGTGTTTTGTTTTGCTTGTTTTTATGGCAAGTAAATACCTGTTTGTTGGAGTGGTGCTGCAGGCTAGGATTGGCTGACCCTGAGTTCATTCCTTGTGGTGGTGTCCATCTGGCTTGGATATATGGTAGATTTACACTTACATATCCAGGGTTTATCTTCTCTTATAAGTTCTAAAATGCTTTTTCCTCTGGCAGCAGCATAATAGGATAGCCCGAGCTTAATTTTGCCATCTTTCGAAGCCAGACAATGTGTGCGGTGTATGCATGTCTTGATTGTTTAAAAGACTGTGGTTCTGTCTGATTTTTTGAACTAGTTTATTGAACATTCTAATGTAGAAAAGTCTGGAATATTTTCTCCTCAAAATTATTTATTAAATTAGAGGTAAACTGGGACATATGCATTTCCAAAATACACTTTGTGAATCAAAGTTAGTTTGTTGGTGAGGACTTAGAGGAGTCGGCAGGTGTTGGGAGAGGCTGCTTAATATTCTTCCTGTGTGTGCTAATCTTTGCACGCGGATCTCCTCTCATCCAGTACATTTCCTTGCAGCCAGGCTGCTTCCCATCTTAGATGTTTCCCCTAAAAGATGTAATTCTACACTCATTTGATTGGCAGCAGAAAGTAGGTTTCCATATCCTACAGCACAAGGAGGAGCCATCTGTGGTTTGTGTGGTAAGATAAAAGTAGTGGCTCATCCCTATCAATCCATCAGTTTTTAAAGCAATGCATTATCACTACCTGTGAATTTTCTTCCTCTGGCTAATGGTGAGGTAGTCATGCATGTCAGCTCTAGGCAGATCGTGTGCAGGAGGACTCAGCAGTTACTTAAGCCCTACCATTCCTGGCTAACTGACAAACTAAAGCACTTTGTAGCTGTAGGCAGCTGGCGCCATCATTTCTCTTAATGCAGTTGTCCCCTTCTGCTGTGGTTGGTTCACTTCAAGCTTAAATCCCCAAACTCCCATTTTCTTTTGTTTTCTATTCACAAACCTGGTAACCTAAGGCTTGCCTGGGTTACTAAGCATAGTTTGCCTGAGGGTACCCCCTCTGAAGCAAAAAGGGTTGCCTGCACACTGTGTGTGTGGGGGGAATTACTAATAGGTGGGTTTTCTTTTCTGTCTGTATCTGACTATTAACTGCTGGAAAAATGAAAAAATTATACTTTGTATTCTGCTAGGTTGTGATGGTGTTGCAACAAACCAAAATCTCTGTTTTGTTAGAATAAAGCATCCACAGGTTGTGCCCTGAAAGATATTTTTATTTCCCTTTTCATTTGAATACCTGTGTTGGATTTCTTGGTCATGTACTTTCCATCTCTGAAAGATACCCATTAAGTTGTTTTGTTGGTTTCAGGGTGACTTTGGTACACAAAAAGAAGCTGCTTGGGCTATAAGCAACCTGACAATCAGTGGAAGAAAAGATCAGGTGAGTAATTTGAGATAAAGAATTTTGACCTAAAATAGCTGTAATGGAAAATACAAAGCAGTGCACAGTCTAACCAAAGGTAGGCATTTTAATGAAACTATGGAGTGTGTTTCGATTTCATCCAAATCTCTCTATTGCTTCAAAGTGAGTCTCTTCAGAGGTTTATATTCTGCCATATTGTGGTGATTCACCTCAGTATTTGCCTATCCTTCTACCAATAGACTAAAATAGTATGGACTAGTTTTCTTCTTTTGGAAGTAATCATTCTTGGGGTCTTTGAAATAATATCTCCAGATTCTTTTTGAATTGCCACATTTGTGAAGAAGTGGCTTGAGATTATCACCTGGGTTCACCTGATATCTCATTGACCAAATTCCACTCAGTTCACTGCTTGGAGAATATGTATAGGTAGCTTGCGTTTTAATTGCTGGTTCTTTGTAACAGTAATATACAAGAGATAAAAACAACTTCCAGTACTCTGTTTCTTAAGGCAGTCTGTTTCAGGTTGGAATATATAGGTCCCTCACTTGTTTTCTCCTCAATTAGAAAACTATTTCTACTCAGTTTCATTTCCAAGAGTTCTGTTTCAAAGGAGTGATCCTGTGGCCTCTAGGTAGCATCTGAGGGGCCATAGAACACTTTGGACTCCAAAATCTGACATTAGAGATAGCCCTTGAACCTCAGATTGGGGGAATGCATGATCCAGCTCCTTTTCCTTCCCCTTGTAGCCAATGCAGAAATAACTGTCCTGGTTGCCTATCTGAGGTGAGGAATGTAACCACAGAAATGGACAAGAGGAGTGGTTTACTGGGTAGGGAGAGGACAACACTGGAAAGGCCAGGATGCAAGCAGTCCTGGGGCTTCTACCTTTCTTCCCTCTCCAAATTCCTTTATTGGATAAGAAAAAAGCCCATCTCGTAAAAAATGCCAAGTGAGAGGATGGGAAATGGAAATCACCTCTGCTGCTCTCACCTTACATAAGATGATTGTAAGTCTCTGATTTCAGGGGCTTATGATTGTGATGAGCATAACTCATAGTTTGTGCAATAAAATAGTTTTATTTCTGATACACTGGAGATAAATGCTTAGGCAGTTTCTGGCCTTAAGTTAAATCTTACCCTGTAGCCCTAACGAGACTGGTATGTATAGCTGTGTAAAATAATTCCTGGTATAGGCTATTTTTAAATGATTTTGGTGATTTGAGAGGATGTTGAAAGATGTTTTATTGTAGTTAAAGCTAGCTTAAAGGACACTGCTCAACTAATTTAATGTTATATTAGACCTGAACTCTGGTATAAAAGTAGCTAAGACATATTTTACTAGTTTTATGTTTGTTTCTATTTCCTGTGAATGAATGGACTGAACTTAGGCATTCACTGGTTCAGAACTAAAATGTAAGCCGCTATCCTCCTAATTGGATTTTCCTGTTTTCCCATAAAGATACCCTTTGCATCACTGGGACCTTTGAGCAATAAAGCTTTCTATGCAAGCCATTGTTTTGTATCACTGGGTATCCTTTGCAAACATGCTAATTTGAGTTATCCACCATACATAAATTAAAACTTAAGCCAATAGGAATAAAGGTGAATATTAGATGATATTTTAAAAAAACCACACCTCTTTGGTATCTGAAGCTAGAATCCACTAACTTAGAATATTTGATTCCCCAAATCAAATAGTTAATTCAATAATTCAATCTGAGCAACCCCACAAAGATAAGTTTGCTTGATTTTTTTTAAAAAGGGCACAATATGCCTGTGTAAATTACCAGTGCATACATTATATCCTCCTTGACTGCAGTAACTTTTTATTTTCTATGCATGTCAAGTTTTTTTATTTATTAAATGTGTTAAAATCAATTAGTTGCTTGATTAAGTCTGTATTAATTGCATATATTTATCTTGACATTTTAATACTAATGCATCCATTTTCATTGTTTTCTAGGTGGCATACCTAATTCAACAAAATGTAATTCCTCCCTTTTGCAACTTGTTAACAGTAAAAGATGCTCAGGTTGTGCAAGTAGTGCTGGATGGTCTAAGTAATATATTAAAAATGGCTGA